TAGCTGGATTGAAGATGTTGAAATCGAATGGTGGAAAAGTGGTTCCTTATTTTAAGTGGGGTGTGAAGAAAGGAGTGGGAAGGACAAACAAAAACGTCCAGTTCTTTGAATCATTTACCTATGAAGGGATCGAGTACAGGCTTTTCGACTGTGCTTATTTCTTCGTTGATGGTCAATGCGAGACTTCAATTGGGAAGCTTGTTAGGATGTATGAGACATCAACAGGTGAGAAATTAGTCAAGGTCATGTGGTTTTTCCGACCTAGTGACATCCGCAGCTTCTTGGGAGGATATGAGCCACAATGGGATGAGTTGTTTCTGGCTTGTGGTGATGAGGAAGGGGTTTACAATATCAACAATGTGGTAAGTTTCCTCTTCTTCTTACTCAAGTCGATGATAATAGGGAAATGATGATATGTTTACACTCTATATGTAAAGATCAGTTTAAGTTTCCTGTGTTGTTGGTCCAGGATGCGATCATAGGGAAATGCAATGTCTTATGTGATTCAGAGGACCAAAGAAACCCACGACCATCAAGAAATGACTTGAGGAATGCTAACTATGTCTTCTCTCGCACCTTCGATACAAAACGTAGAATTATATCAAAACACTTTCCTGATGGAATAGCTGGAATTGGAGGTTTGTTGGTTAAAGGAAAATTACAAAGCTTTATTGTTCAACTTAATGCTCTTTGGATATGGATCTGATGAAGCTAATTTATCTTCAACTTGTTCTAATAATGCAGTGGAGAAATTATTCAACAAGATAAGAGATAAACAGCCACTTAAGCCTCCATACCCAAGCGGAGCTGCCAGTACCAGGTCTTCTCCAGTGAAATCTCTGTATTCAGGGTCGGGATCGACAAAGTTAGGAAGAAATGATAACAGAGATGGAAAGCTGATCAGTAGACCAATCCCGGTAAAAAAAGGTTGATCCTTTTTCCTTTTATTCTTTTTTTGGCCTCTTATGTCATATATATTTGTGAAATGGACCTACCAGATTGACACTAATCTTTATTTTGCAAGACCTGTTTCTGAAGGACCGTTCTGATCCTTTACATGTGAAGAAGAACCCTCTCTATACTGAAAGCACGTCAAGAGATCTGAAAACCAAAACCAGAGCAGTGGAGAAGCTTCATGCTTCAGGTTCATCACTCGATCCCCATCCTTCTAAAAAGAGGAAACTTAAACGTAACACGCCAGAAAGAGATGTTTTCGATGATTCAGCCCCTCAACCAAGAGAACAGAGACTCGTTAGAAATCCTCCTCTTGTAGAAAAAGCTCCAAGTCAGAACATTGTACGTACCATCTCTATCCTTCTACTTTCAGTGGATTATCTAAGACTTGTTGAAATCAAAGTGTTTACTGAGCATAGAAGATTGTTCAGATCTTAGGATGAATAGTATTCACTTATGACATTTCCAAATTATTGTCTCCTTTTATCTGCCTTTCAGGATAAAAACAGCTGGTACAAGAAACTGGCAAGTTCTCTGACGCCTCCACCATGACTTGAGACAAGAGATTACTTGGTTTCTAAAGTGTCATTATATTCCTTTTTACAGCCTTTTGAGGAAGAACTAAAAGCAGCTATGGTAAAAGGAAGGTGGCTCTTAATTGAAAACCTGGAACCATCATTCACATCGCTGGAGGTGGAGGTATGTGTTATAATTTTACTTTGAAAGTAAGAAGGTCTCTAAACGGCTATGTATCAATCCAGTTCAAGAAGAATTGGCCTAAAGAGCTTTCATGTCGTAGGACCATGCTAGAAATCTCACTCAAAGCCAATTATTTTTTAGATGACACCTGTTTACCATTGGCAGTATGTGTATTGCCATGTTTTCTCGATTTATTTGTTTAGAACAATCGTTTTGGATCCTATTCAATGTTGGGAACGTGATGCGATCTGCATATGTTGATCAAATATACATGGTTTAAACAAAGATTTTGTAAAGCCTTCAAAATATAATAACACTCCTGGTTGTTTCCTTTTTTGTCTCTGTGTAGGATCTTTGTAGGCAAGCTTTCAACGAAAGGGTTAATGCAAAGATGATCCCCTCGAGTAATCTGTCTAGTCCACATATTGGTATATCTATTTTACAACTACCTGGTTGTTTGTAAGCTCAGGATTTCAACAAATTAAACTCCATTTTCCAAGCAGGCAGGGCCCTTGTGATTTTTGGAACCACAAAGGCAGCTGATTATGCCATGTCGCGGTTAACCGAAGGGTGCCTGATGTTATCTGACCAAAGGTACTATATCATATTCTATCTCTCACGGAGTTGAAAACTTCATCAATCCTTTTCTTTTTCTCCAGGCCTCTAGTGGGTAGCAGAACGGTCCCAAAGGATATCGGAGAATGTAGAAGCTTTACTGGACATTTTAGCCTGGTGCGTAAAGGTTGGATGTCATTTGAGAAGGTAAGTTAAGGTCATAGTCATGTCATACATTTTTCTTATGATTTAAACGCTCTCAAAAGTCCAAAGTAGAAAAACATTGTCTAACACCGTCTTGTTCTTCTAACCTTTGTTGAATAGAGAAAGGCCGTTGCTACATCACACTGCGCGCAATCGAACCACATCGTATGCCATATGGCCTTGCAATGGTTTGGCCTACAGAGGAAGTCAGAATTGATTTTAAAGAGGCTATTCAAGGTCTGTTCTTTCTTCTCTTTTTTCCCAGTGGTATCTTTGAACCACATCTTTTGCTACCATTGCTAGTTTTTTTAATCTTCTTTCCTCATGCATTATAGCAACAAGCCAAGGAGATTAACAACATTAAGAGTAAAAAGTATCAAGAAACCAGAAGATAAGAACAAGATGCAAGTTCCTTGTCCCAAGAACACAAAAGATCGCGAATCGGATTTTGGTATCTAGCTGATGCAATGCAACCCCTTTTGGTTTTAGGTGGGCATTAACTTATAACACTCCCTCGCTGATGCTAGTTTTGGATTAGGACGTAGGGGTACATAAAGAAACGATTTGGCAGTTTTGTGTTGTCGCAGAAACTATGATAAAACACAATTGTATCCACCTTTTGCAAATACTTTAGTTTATCAGTCAAAAGTCTCCACTTAGATTGGTTTTAGTCGCAGCTGTTTCATATGAACCAAAACAAAAAAAAACCCAAAACATTAACGAGAGAAACAAGCCGCATGTAGATCCTTAACAAGACAAACAATCCTACTAGTGTTTTACCCCATACACACGACTGTTACACAAAAGGTTCGAGATAGAGAGAGATAAAGAGAGCAATGAACAAAGAATAAGGCTACTCTTTGCCAGATTTGTTGATGAGAGACTTGTGAATATGTGGAATGACTCCACCACCAGCAATAGTTCCTTTGATGAGAGTATCGAGCTCCTCGTCACCACGGATAGCTAGCTGCAAATGCCTCGGTGTGATACGCTTCACTTTCAGATCCTTGCTCGCGTTACCAGCCAGCTCCAAGACTTCTGCGGTTAGATACTCCAAAATGGCGGCTGTGTAAACCGCAGCGGTTGCACCAACGCGTCCATGAGCAGTTGACCTTCCTTTCAAAAGTCTATGGACTCTTCCCACTGGAAACTGCAAACAAGACCCACACAAATCTTAATCTATCAAACACAAGACATGGTCTATATATTTCAACAAACCAGGAGGTTAACTACAACAAACATAGCTTTAGTTTAGACCCTGAAAAAGCTTTTGCTGCATTAAAAGTAAAACATATGAAAAAAAAGCTTTGAAGCTTTTAAGAACCAAAACCCATCATAGCTTTTTTTTTACTCTCTCTTTAGGGTCAGTCTTAAATTCATCGTTATCATTAAATATGGATAGTACTTTATTGTCCATCCTTTTACACAGTGTATCAATCGTCAAAATCTATGGAAAAAATAAAAATCCCAGAAAATTAGAACAGAGGACTAAAAAATATTTCTGTAAATCAGCCAAGGAATTCAAATCGATCTCTGGACTAGTTATTTATCTTAGGTTGAGAAAACTAAGAACCTAGCAGATCCGTTACTTACACGATTCACACATCCCAAGAGAGAAGTCAAGTGTGTAT